TCTAGTTGTAATTCTACCTCAAGAACGTGAATAAAAACAAGGATGAACCATCAACAGTTCAGAACAGAAAAGGCGCTGACTTTTAGCATTTTCGTTATATGCGTTAAAATATATTAAGTACACAGACCATCAAAGATGGAATCAATGAAATTAAAGAAATAAAACAACTTTGAAGCGTGAGCAATATAGTTGTGTAACCTATTTCTTTTCCGTAAAACTATAGAATTAAAAAATAGTAGACTACATTCTTGTATCTTGTAATCATCCAAAGGACCAATGAAATTGAAATAATAAAGCTCATAATAGCAGTTAATATCAATAAGACTCTTGGCAAAATGAATCCAATCTCGGTTTACAACCCTTCATTCCAAAAAGTTTCTCCTTGTTCTGTTTCGTAAAAGAAAATTGCTAAAATAGGAATTTCCCATTGATTAAATGACACTAAACAAGCTCATATCAACATATGTCACATGTCTTGCCAAGCATAAAAATCACGAAGAAGTAAGTCTATTTATAAATAAATAAGAAAGTATTCAAATGATTTTTTTTATTTATTTTTTGTTGGTTAGAGTTGGAAATATGCAAATTAAAAGTGACCCCTCCCTACAGTCAAAATAAGAAAAACATAACGTATTCAAAAATCTACTTGAGAATCCTATAAAATAAGCAACTTTAAGCTTAGCAAAACTCGCTGTATAAATCACTCACCCAGGCAGATGCCTGACCTGTAACAGTTTGAGAAGCAATACCTGAAACTATAGGAATCATTTATCCTCGAACGGGCGTCAGTAGCTAGTCGTGGCTGCATTACTTGCTTAGGCTCCCTGTAGCTATCAGCAGGTTTCATTACAGTTGAACTTGCAGTTGCGTCTGTCTTTATTCCAGTACGCTTTTTCTTCATCTTCGATTTCTCCCAACCATCGACGGTAAGGGAAGATGTCCGATCCTCACCATTAATCACAGCGCAGTTAGGAAATCTTATTATTTCCCTATCCTTGTCCATAACTCCAGTTGGCCTTGCAGGGGCATTTGTCTGTACATCCATCTAAATAAATCAAAACTCATACATCAATCCTACTTGAGAGAAGTTGAAACTCGTTTCGAGTATGAATGAATAATTAAGAAAAACTAATAGAGAATGCAAGGGCAAGTTTAGCAGGAGATTAATTTCAAACGGAATGAGAATCCTCAAAACGGACCAAAAGGTAATCAACCTAGATTACATATAGATAAAAAAAAAATCATAAACAAAAAGAGAGCCTAGAAAAACACCTTGAACCCTAATGCTTATCTTTATTTAGATACTCACTTTCAAACAAGTAAAATAGTAGAAAATTATTATCACATAAAATTAAGACTAAAAATAAATTATTACAACCCTATAATACAAGAAATCAGACAAAAAGGGGAGAGCTTAGCTAATGAAGAGAACATTATAATTCAACCCTCCATAATCATTACAATATAATTAAGCATAAAAATATGTGCAGACAGAACTTGGCAACAATAGCATAAGACCACCACATCGATTCTGTATAAAGAAAGAATATTTTCAGAATACGAATTAAGAAAGAAACCAAACATACTTTTGGGTCTAACATAGAAGTTCGTGTACGCTTGTTTGGAATGGCATTTTTTGTCCTTTCTTCTGATCTTTGTTGCTCCAGTTCAAAACTGCTCGTATTGGCATGACTCTGTGATCCCATTTTACTGATGCTCACCCCTGAACCTGACCGATCAGTTGGTAACAAGGCATTGGATCGGTCATTTGATAAGGTATCCAGTCGGGACCTCTTCCTTGATGCAATGGTTGGGAAACATTTGTTGATTACAGATAAACAATCATTGAATATCTTTACACGTTCCCTGATACGTGGTGTAAGTTCAGAAATATCCTTATCCCTCATAAAACTTCATATGAAGGAGAAGGGAAATAAATAAGGAAAAAAAAAGTCAACAGTAACTACCTAGCTTTACTACTGCCTTCCCGCACACCAGCCCTGAGTCGTCTGAGATCATCTGATGAGGGAGAAGGCAGCGGTTTGCTTTTCGAAGATCCAGGTAGAGAATCTTCTAGTGGGATGCCGACAGCAGCAGTTGCAATTCGCTTAAATGCCACAGGTCGATTCAACTTATGGTCCATAACCATCGTCTTTGGATCAAAACGCACGCATTGAAAAAAATTCGTTACATCTCCTTGTGTTACAGAAGAACTGCTTCTTGTCATGTTTGGAAGACTTGATAAGATTTGATTCTCCATGTTTTCGCGGAAGCTACCCGATCTGTCCAGAGAAGCAGTACTGTAGGATCCACGATGCCCGGATGAGTATAGCGGCCTATCAGGGCTACCAGAAGATAGATCAAATTTGCTAGATGCTGACATTGCATCAATGTCCACACGCACTCTGTGTTAGAAAACCGGTTAACACAGTTGTGCATGGCAATATCGTAATACTACGATCTATGGCACATTAAACCCACAGCTCAAACTATTAACTGTAACAGCAGAATATAATATGCCTGCAACCCAAAAAAATAAAAATTGGAGGTCAATGTGAACCCAAACCCAAACAAATCAGATGTTATTCAAATGTTTGAAAAATCAATGAATTCTAGAAAAAAGAGCAACAGAAGGCTATTCAAGAGTTTCACATATGTGCATATCCCTGTTTGAATTTCCAGAAGAAAAAATGCCTTGCAAAGAATAAATAATGTTTTGCTCAATTTTTTCTCTTGATCTCAGCTCATGCAGATATTTCACAAAAATTAGCAAAAACATTCAAATGACTGTCTGCCTAGATGTTATTCAGTTACCATTTCAAGAACTTCAACTTATAGAACGGAAAGAAAGAGTAAATGAACTAACCCCCCATAAATTCATTGTGCCTGTGTCTAAATGCTATTCAGTCCACACATATCGCTATAACAAGAAAAGGTGGAAGTTAATGAACTATTCAAACTGCCAAGTCGACTTTATCTTTCTACACAGATAGCTTCCACCATCCACACCATGGCAAAACAGAATCTTTCCATACATAACAATTAAATATTGCTATCAATAACTGCAAGCTCGTGTTACTGAGTAAATAATATTAAAAGAAAAAAAAAATTAGATGTCCAAGTTCCCAAGTTCTAAGTTAGCATTTATGATTCCTCTTTAGCTAATAATGCTTCTGTCCATTTTGATGTTACATGGATTTTAGTAACTAATTATAAATCACACAACTTTCAGACTCCTTTCACGACTAAATTTTGCTTCTCTAAAAGCAGGTCATACAAAGTGCAGTAAATACCCAATGCTCGTATTCAAAACTCAAGTGAATTTCATAACGCACTACCTAAAGATTCAAATCATGGTTAATGATTACAATCATCAGATAAATTCCCCCAAAAAAAAAAAAAAAAGAGAGTTAAGAAAGAAGAAGTTGCCTGAAAACTTTAAAATTTATAATAACTAGGGAAAAAAAAAAAAACTAGTGATCCGAAAATCCAATGGGTCGAAAACTCTGATATGATCAATATACCATCGGGAAAAAATAAAAATTTAAAATCCAACAGCTAAGGGTTCAATTAGGGTTTTGAAAATATGTTCTGATAATATCGATGATAACTTTATAATCATCCATATACGTATCAAGAATTCAACACGCTAAAAATTAAACGAAGCATTTCGGGCTTAAGATTATGACAAAAAATAATTTAAAAAAGAAAATACCTGATAGAGAAAATCAACGGAAAACACCGAGTCGTCGATCGGCGGAGGAGAGGTCGGTCGATAAATTGAACGAGAGAAATTTGTTTTCTTTATTACACCGGATTTTGGCCCGATATTAAGCCCGGATGAATAATGGTAATAATGCAGTAGCAGTATTGCTAGAATCTCTATGGACCGGAAAGAAGAAAGCTGTCAGAATTGTTGATTCTAAACGGACCGGGCCGGATGCGGGCTTGATGTTTAGCTTGGGCGGCCCAAAAACTGTATTATAAGGCGGTGGTTTTCTATTGTAAAAAGGCAAACGTGTCCAAAAGACACATGGTCACCTTAACTTATTTCGCAAGTAAACTTATTTTTAGGTAAATTTTACGATATAATCAAAATAAGATAACATATTTTCAACGGTGATGATCGAAGATCGTACTATTGAATAAAATGTACTCATTCCTTTGCACGAGCTTTTTTAATGGCTTCAATTAATCAAATATCTTGATTAGTAATGAATGATATTGAATTAGGAGTCAAATTTCACCCCAACCCTTTGCATTATAAATTTGAATTTTCAATTATGCTACATGTACATAATCATTCACACAATCTTTTACACCCTCCTCACATGGAGAGAGGTCCCACACACCATAAAATATTCGCGCACACTATTCATATAAGACAGGTGTACGTACACCTAATGTATAAACAGCTTTATCCTTGAATTTTTTTACCACAACTATTGAGATATCAAAACTAACGAGATTCTTAGTAATTCTAGTAGGTCGTGTTAAATTTGAATTCTTCTAACTTGTTCTACTGAAATCGTGTCCCTTATATAACCAAAAATATCTTTACAAACAGGTATGTTTAGGTATTAATTTCACATAGTACAAGACACGTGGCTTCTTTGGTGAGTTTACCTCTCATTTTACCACTCAACAGGTTATAAAACTTTTCCTTAACCCTTAAATTATAAATGAAAATAATAATTTGATTCCCAATGCATAAACTTATGTCATGGTTGAACACATGATTGGAATGCTACCCTCTAGTTCAATCTAATATTGAATACAGAACAAAAATACCGGAGAGATCCTACCACCGTTCATTTCATTTACACAAGGAACTATGACCATTTTCATACTATTGCAGCTGTCTTCAATATACACTGACAATCTTGAGCCGTTGCTGTACACTATATGACACTTGACTCTCCGCCGTAACAGAAAAGCACTCTCCTGATACTTAAGCAATGCAACTATGCACTTTGTATTAAGGCTAGTGATGGTGTTACTCATGTCGTCCTCCACCCGTGAATGGCAGATCGTAACGTGTGATTTGGAGTTAGCATCTTGTGTTGTAGTCTTTGCTTTGTCACTGGAGATATGTTATGCCGGTCGAGCCATGCCTTTATTGCTTCATGCTCATATGTAAAACCATCTGCTGCTATGTATGGGTTGTCCATAACTTCCTGCATTGACATTGCATTATGAATCAGACGCAGAATTAGATGCGTGAACAAACAGAAAATCTAAAAATCAGCTCATGCAAATGATTTTGAGCTTTTCACCTGAAGGATCGGGCAATAGTAGTGGCTAGGGGCATGAATTTGTTCTTTCAATGCCTGAATACTTGAATCTGCAAATTTAGCAAGTCTATTCAAAGCCGGCAAAACTTCAGATTCAAGATCTGGCCGTTCTCTGCATCTAAGTTTACAGCAGCTCAACGCAATCTTTGCTAATTCTTCTGCCTCAGCCAATGGCCAATCTGTAACTGACGTATCGAGCATATCTGATAAGGCACCGCTGCTTAAAGCATTTTCGAATTTCAGTATAAGCCCATCAGGACGACTAGCAGCCAATAACTGGAGAGTTAGTATTCCAAAAGAATACAAATCAGATTTTGGCCGGAGAGTTCCAGTTCTTTGATACTCAGGATCCATATAATATAAGGTGCCGGCAATAATGGATTCCCTATATTCTGTAATGTTGTCAGGCACAGCATCGTAAATCATTTTTGCCAGGCCCACATCTCCAATTTTGCTTACATAATGTTTGTCTAGCAATATATTTCCAGGTTTTAGATCCCGGTGAACAATAGGCTCTGGCTTTGAGTAATGTAGAAATGCAAGTCCACATGCTATTTCAAAAGCTACCCGGAACCTGACAAACCATGGAAGAGGAGGTCGGCCGTTTCTGCAAAACATATGGTCTTCCAAGCTTCCGTTCTCCATATACTCATAAACAAGGCAACCATTATCTGGGCAGGCTCCAAGCAGTAAAACGATGTGAGGATGGTGGAAATGGCTTAGAACTTCAATCTACACATAGTTTATAATGAATGTTACCAACACTTGAAATCTTGTAGGCTTTAGCAATTTTTGTAATTGCAATAAGTTGGGTATCAAACATACTGAAAATGGAGATAGGCATATGGATGAGAAAAATAAATATCATGCAAAAAAGACCAATAAAATATTTTTCTATTTTCATACCAAGTGCTCTAACATGTTAGAACCTACTAATTCATCAACTTGAAACTTCAGCTATAGCTTCTACAAACAAGGTAATACCCAGCAAAAACAGGATACATACGTCCTCTTCCCAGTGCCCGAAGCTTTGAGTCACTATGGCTATCTCAGGTTTGGATGTTGAAAAATGGTCGAGTAAATTAATGATCTCACATGGACCAGAAGAAGCAAGTAAAAAAAATTGAGTCAACATCTACGGGGAAGAACCTAGGAAAAGAAAAATCACAGAGTAAGCTGGGAAAAAATGGCAAAGCCAAGGGAAATCTTGGAAGCCGGCAGCCACACATTTGTGAGTATGCTTGTCCATGCATATATGCATGTGTTGCAGGTGAATAGGTGCATAAGGGCATTTACGCCCGTCTTCAATTTGCAATTTTTCATGAAAATTTAGTAGGGGTACTTGCTATTGAGTTTAAAACTTGTACAATCTGTCTTGGTACAAATGGCAAAAACGTCCCATATTCTGACTGAAAGACTCAAATGCATATGCACAACTTAGAAGAGGAATAAAAAGTAACAAGTCAAACCTCTCTCATAAATTCCTCTTTCCTGTTACATGCATCAGGCCGAAGAACTTTAATAGCGACCAGGGTGTGATCAAGTTTGCATTTGTATACTTTCCCATACGCTCCTTCACCAATCATTCTAGCTTCGGAGAAGAAATCAGTTGCAACCTCGATCTCATTTCTTGTGTACCTTCTATACCTACTGTCAGTTGAGAAAAGTGCATCAGCAATTTTCTGCTTCTCCAATGACTCTTTCATGGCTTTCAGTTCTGCCATCTCTCTTTTGTATGCCTCTTCAGCTAGCAATTTTCTTGCTATGACAACCTCCTCCTCAGCTTCCAAATGCTTCTCTCTCTCTTCAGAGGCAATTTTCCTTGAACTTTCTTCTCTTTCCTGTGCAGCATTGACTCTTCTTGCATCTTCATTCCACTCCGAAGAAAGCAAGTGAACCTGCACCATATAGCATCTACTTGTTATTCATGTAGGACTTATATTCTTTTTCATGCGCATAATTTTTACCCAGGCTTCATATAAACATTATTTTCCAAAAATATCGACATTAGCGAGAGATTATTATCTACTAGACAGAAGTCAATCATAAATCAACTGTTAAGGGGATGCCGCAAAATAATTGATCTCTCACCTTGCTCTGTGCATGGACAAGGCCTTCAAAAGCTTGACCGTACAGGGTGATAGTATTGTCCAACTCCAGGCGCAATTGTTCGATTTCAGCCTGAATGTGTGACGGCAAAAAGATAAGTATATCCTCTGTTACTGTAATTAAATCCTATAGCCTCTAGGATTATACAGAGGCTTAATTATAGGGATTCCTTCTTCCTAATATAGATTTCTCAATCTGTATATATATGTTTCTTCTCCTATGAATGTCAATATCAAGAAATTATTCTCTCTTTTAGTTTACATCCTCAATGTAAGGACTGACTTGTATCATTAGTATATACAGTTAACCGATGTAAATCAAGAAACCAAAAGTTCTGCAAAGAAATATTTCTCTTGGAACTTGATATATTTTAGCACAAAATATGCACAGATGAGCAAAGCTACAAGTTAATTCACCTGCTCGGAGTATGTAGAAGATGAAGGAGTACATCCCTTAATTGCCTGGATATCTGGGATACTATCATCCAATATTTGACGAGTTCCTCCTTGAGCAGCAGTGTAATACATAGAGGAGTACCCAAGTATGTGTGCCTGGGAAATTAGGTGGCTAAGATCTGAGAGGCTGCTCAGATCTTTGGACTCTGTGGAGGAAGAAGAGAGACTAGAGTGTTGTTTACTAATTGCATGAGAATCATATTCCCCCTCTGGTACAACGCAAAATGATACCAGTCAAAGTTAAAAAGAAAACAGTTAATTGACCAAAAGATAAATTTTCAACATACCAGTACTTAAAATAGGATTTCGTGAATTTGTAATGAACTTATTTCTAGAGATCACATAAATGTTGCAACTATCAGGAGCATGTTTGAGAACAATTGATGGCACCTCCATGTCCTTTTGTTTCCTGAAAAAAAAATCCAGTAAAAGTTGTGGCAGACACCAATAAATATGTGCTAGCAAATCTAACGTACAAGAAATCACATTGCAAATAAATGATTGCATGGGAAATAGTTAATTATGTGTTTAGAAAAATGAATATACATGACATGTCGACGAAGCAATAAGAATATGCCATATTCATTTGAATTCACCCACCAATTTAGAAACTACAGTTAGGATTTAAGTCCTTCAATGCCTCAAGTTTTGATGAGATCTAGTTACTTTGATACTTTAGACTTGCAAATCCTTTAACTTTCGGCTCATGAGCTAAATTATTATCTCATTTTTTTTTTAGATCATTTCCAATTTTATAACGAACTCCTGATTTTACTTTGTTTCATAGTCTACGTTGTAAAATATGATTGAATTGAACTCCATTGTAATATTTGCCTAATGCCAGAGTCAAAGCTGTAAGATAAACAACAGAAAACCATTTCATTCTGATTTGAATTTGTAAAACAGAACCCTACTAGTCACTGTAAATTGTAAATGAGCTTGTGTGTTATTGCTGTTTCACCAAGCCAATAAGTAAAAAAAGGTTGCTGCTGATATCGCACTAATCTTCCAAGTAAATGATAGTATTCCAGCTACTGTTGAAAGCCCATAAACTATAAGAACAGGGTGGTGGTGGTTATAACTAGACAGAGCCTCTAGATCTATAGAATTTGCTAAGATGGAAAAGGAGAGCCATTACTAGAAGGTGCAAAGTTTCTAACCAGACCATTATAAACAGATCTTGCACTAACCATCTCTTACTTTTCTGGGAACTAATTACTTTTTTTCAAACTGTTACCCAGTGAGACATAATTTTTGAATTGTTAACCTGATTTAATTAGTACAGCATTAAATCTGCCAAATTGTAAAACAAGTTTAGTAAGCTGAACCACAAACCAGTTTCATTGTTTTTCGAATTTGCAACACAGAGCAACTAGTCTCTACCAAGCTTACTTTTGTACATATGCTACTATTGTTGCTGATGTTGGAGTAAGTCTTTAAGTAAAAGACGGGTTTCTTCTAGTGTTGGAGTAAGGTTGTTATTGCTGTAACTACACTAAAACTTAAAAGGAAAAGGGATTGTTGTTGCTGTTGTCATTCCTCACTGAATTTTCAATTATTCGATAGAGGAATTCGCTGAAATCCAATAGAGGAGCCTTTTGAAAGTGGATGTAAGTATTCAAACTGAATCATCACAAGTAGACTTTGCATTTTACACTTCTCCATCTTCCCTAATTTCTTTGCAGCATATTAATTGTGTTAAATGGTTATGTCCACTTTGCAATATACTTAGCCGCCATCAAAATTGATTTCAAGACAACATACAATATGTGCACTCAACACGTTATTGAATATTTTCGGTTGCACTTGCTTTTTTTTTTTTTTTATAACTGTGGATGTTCAGGTCAGCTTGCGCGCACCTCGACTAATCCCACAAGGCCCTGAAGTTTACGGTCGGGTACTCACCTCAGTGACCCTGAGGGAATTCGAACTGATGACCATTGGGGAGCAAACCCAATGCCTCATCAATTGAGCAACCCCTCAAGGTTGGTTGCACATGCATTTTAAAGAAAAAGGATTCCGTAAATTAAAATTAGTTAAGCACCCTAAGTTTTACTTACTTATCTATTCGCTAACCCTCTAGACAACTACCACAATCCTACATTCACAAGTCCGGACAATCATAAATTCAATAAGAAGTTCCAATGAAACAAGGAAGGTGAAAAGCTATAAACAAAAGAGATTACACCAACATAAACGAAATTTCCTCAATTTCAAAGTGAAAAATCTTAGTCTAATAGGCACAATTATTTAGGTGGGACTTGGGAGTCATAAGAAATTATAAGTGTATTTTGTACACTTATGTAGGCCATTAAATTAAAGTATTTTTTAGTGAATTGGATGATTTAGAACTTAATTTTATGTTAGTGATGTTTGTTAGGTTGAACTAAATGCAAATTGGTGGATTTGGAATGAACGAAAAAGTGCGAAAACGAAGGAAATCCAAAATTTTGGGACCAAAGTATAAACATCTAATAGTTGATTCGGACCACAAAACGATGATTGAAGATTATATAGGATCAATTGGATGCAATTGGAGGTCAAATAAGTGAAATATAGTTAAAGTAGTCTGACAAATCAATTTCCATTCGACGAAGTTAGGTTTCTGATTTTTAGCCTCGACATGAGATATATTTTTCGAATAGCAAACATTTGAATTGGAAAACTTTTATTCTAGAAAAATTATAGCCCTTTGAATTATCTTTTCAATGCATTTTGAATCACCTCAACTGGATATCTGTAGAGAAAATTGTGACCAAAATACCGAAAACTGTTTAGCGACGAACCAAAGCGAACTTGCGCGCAGGGTACCCTATTTTCCCCAACCCGAGAGCCATTTGACTCTATGGTGCACACACGATAGTTATGCCGGTGCGCGCTCGAGGGCCATTTCTGCAAATGAATCAGCAGTTTCCTTTCGCGATTCAAACTCTTTTGAAACCCAAAATAGACGTGATTTTAATATATTATCTGACTCTTATAAATACAAAACAAAGGTTACATATTGAAAACACCCTCTATCGCCTCTTCATACACAAGAGTATCATTAAATTCATCAAGAACAAGGGGCCAATTGCTATATTTTGGGATATGAGATCAAGCCCTACGAAAGAATTGAATGTCAATTACATCAAGATTTTAAATAATTCAACTTTGGGCTTAAATATCAACATCTTTTGAATTATTTCATGATCAAGGTGATATTTTTCTATTCTTGTAATTTATATATTAATATGTTATGCTAGATTTGTTTTTGTATTAGATGAATATGAATCTTATTGTTTATTTATTTTAATTCAAGACTAGTAGTTTAGTTTATTTCTTGCGTTTCTTGATTAATTTTGTATATCAATTGTATTATTTAATTGATTAGCCACCAATTAGATAATTAGTTGCTTGTTATAGTGATGGAAGACTCACAATAAATTTAGAACGCGACAAAATTAACATATGTGCAATAAATATTAGGAATAACATTTATCGCATGTGCAATCATATAGATAATCTAAACTTTAAAGCATTCTAATCATTCAAATTCGGGTTAGGAATAGATTCGGTTCATGCTTAGAATAGATTTAATTTGTCTTGAAAAAGAAAATTATATATCACAGCTCAATCGATTGACTAGAACGCATGAACGGAACTATATTACAAATCAAGAATTGAAATAAATAATAAATTACGGATTCAAGATCCGATACAATCATCTATAAATTCACTCTTTGTTTACATAATTCGAATCCCATAAAAGCTAATAAACTTAAATTGAATGTATTCCGTGTACGACGATAACTCTTTAACTTATCAATTATATTACTTGTCAATAATCTCATACGCTTGCGGATTTCGCACGAACAAAAAACGTGCCGTCTAAAGGGAATTGGAGCATCAAGTGGGATCATATGTTATTATTCTTTTGTTCCGTTAATCGTGTAAGTGTAAATAAAGTATATAAGTAGGTCCCAAATGTTGTTATTCGTCTTTGTAAAAGGTTAAATTCTGTCCTAGGAAAGTGGATTTAAACAACCAGAAGTAGAACATACAACATTCACTTTGAATAAATAGAGTACTATACCTTGTAAAATAATTAGAGGAGCAAGATCCCAACACTAAACTTGTCACCCTTGAGTCAGATATATATCTGAGAAGCGCAAATGCTGGATTGTCCCCTTCGAGCAATAAACTTTCCATCTACGGGGAGTTCAAAATTACTGACCTTTAAAATTAATGAACATGTGAACGGCTAACTGATATCTGATAATGGATAAAGACCCACCTTTGGCATCTTATATGAAAACTTAAATGGTGTTAACATTTCTTCACATTTTGCCTTCATATCTTGCATATATATTTCCACCACACTTGTGTCCAGCTCCTTGATCGGAATGCTACTTCCTGCTGTTAAATACATCATAGATGCAAAACAAAATTCCTATCAAATGTAGAAAACCTTATTAAATAACATTTGATTTGCATTTATGCCTAACTCTGATATTTATGGCAAACATTGTAGGGATCATACAGAAGGAAGATTTAATAAAATAGCTGAACCAGATAATTCAGCAGCTTGAAATTCAGAAGGGCAAATTAAGAAAGAAAAGGTAAGCAGAATATTTGAATTTTTTCTTATCTCCTCTTATTCTTTATACTGAAAGTAAAACAAAAGAGAAGGTGAATTAGAGAATCACACTGGCAGCTTGAGAAGATGGCCACTTAGTATCTAACTCAAGTTCAAGATTAAAATTACAAGTTTATAGATTCAGCAGCTGAGGAAACTTTTACACAATTAAGATCTCTCAAAAGATTTTTGATATTCATCTCCTATATATCAAGAATCAAACTAAGAATAAGGCAAAGGAAGTCAACCCTACTGTGCAAGTACATGATATTCTCTATAAATTAAAATCAACATGTATTGCAAACCAATTTAAGATATATTTCTTTCTGCTGATAGAAAAATGTGCAACCTCACTATTGGAAATAATGCTGTTCTGGCACCAGTGAGACTTAGGGATGGCAAGAAGGGATCCATACACTAATACCAAAAAAGAGGCGTAGATTGGGGCAACCCAGGGCAGTCCAAGCCCAATTAGTATCTTTATATGTAAAAAAAAAAAATCATGGAAATTTTTATTTCTTCCATTTATAAGCCCTGTGCAAAAAAATATTTTGTCCTCGCCTGGCTCCGCCTGTCCCATGGTCACCAATACCATTCAGGAATCAACCCCGTCCCAGGCTCTATCAGGTGATTATTCATCATGCACATGCTGCTCTCAAATAAATTACAATTCTTATATCCAATTACAGACTCACAGGTTCTTGTCAACATGAACATGCTCCAGGGATAGAGTGAAGACTTTGTGCTGTTCGCATTAACAGTTCTTGACCTTTATGGCGCATGTGTATAGCACATGTAACTGATTATAGATCTTAATTTGTATATAATTTGGCCAAAATTAATCTATCCTTATACTGTGTTACTGCATGCTAGTAACAATTCTGAAAACTTTTAACGTCTTCAGCTCAAAGTGCAAGGTGTGCCTTTAGAGTGTCCAATACGCCCTTTGAGAAGGGTGTGGGTCAGGTTGGGCTCGGGCTGTCGTGGGTGGTATATTGCACCACCTCTGTGACCACTATCGATGTAGTCTTGAATTTTCCACCAAATTACAATACAAGGAGATGAAATTATACAAAAATAAGTCAATCTTTCATTCCTTCTTCAATATGAGATTCATTTCCACCAATTTACTAACACGCGATTAAACCGCTTTAAACAGATTAACACCTTAATTAAGCATGTGACCACTTAGATCATATTAATGTCTCCAAAGTTTGCTAATCACCATTATAATTCCAATACGCAGTGTGTTAAATGTTTAGTTTTCTATCACTGAAGGAAAGCAATTCTATACTGCGCACAAGCACTCTAATTTTAGTGCGTGCGTGAATATAGGGATAAAGAGTATTAGGAACTTAGGCGATCGTACATGGAGTAGGGATTGAAGTGATACTGGGCATGATATGAACTAGAACAAAACGATCAGCTTTTGGCATCAAATTCTCCACCGCCCACCGTACTGCTCTTTGACTACCTTTGCCTTCTGCGCTCTTCACGGCCACTGCCACCGTCACCACCGTTGCCGGAACACTCCCGCCGCCGATCCTCATTTCCTAACAGCAATACAAAATTGCCTCGTCGCTTAACGGTACAAGAAAGCCTTGGGAATTTATAATTGAGTACCGGGTGGGACCCGGTAGTTGAAGATGGACGGCTCAGATGTAATTTAGAACGGGGAAACAATTCAACCATAAACAGGGATCACTGCCGTGGGATCCCAAGTCTTTCAAATTGTTTTGTTGCAGTTTTTATTCTAACATTTCATTTATAATAGCGTTGGTCCCAAACTTTCAATCATGTACTACGGAAGAACATCAGGGTGTCTAGTGGATATTAAAATTAGATTTTTAGTGGATTATGACAGAAATTTTTGAAATGTGTGATTGAAAAGATGTGGGATCCATGAAAGATGTGGTTAATATTGATTTTTTGACTTTGACTTAGAGCTTGTTTGGGAGGGATTAAAATCAGATTAAAATTGAAAATATAGCCGTTATTGTTGACTTTTATTAGACGGGTGGGACCCAATAACGGTCATATTTTCAATTTTAATTGGATTTTAAGCCCTCCCGAACGGGGCCTTAGATTAAAATCAGATTTTAATCCGGACCAAACAGATCTCTAATATATGACTGTTAGGTAACCAAAAGTTGAGGATCTTATCACATTTCGATCAAAGTTGTAACTTATATTTTTTTTTTTACATATAAATAATTAAATTTAATTTTTTTTAAAATAAAATAAAATCATCTTCTTTCCCTGCCATGCCCCGACCAACCCACCTACACATTGCCACAGCCTATTGCTCTCACAACACTAACTATCACCATCGTAAATTGCAGCCATCTAAAATCAAGCAGATCTAACTATTGTCCCAAAACTCAAATCAACCTTTGTGAATAAATATGTCTTCTTCCCAACCCGTACACATAAATTTGTCTATTGATAATATACCCAAAACTTGTGACTGTACCTTCGAGGACATCCAATTTTATAAGAAATTGCAAATTGGAGAACTAAAGAATGCTATTGAAGAGAATGATGAGGAAATTTAACTTCTACGCCAAAGATTGAACAAATGAAAATTTGAGAAAATAAGGATATCAAAGAGGCATCGATGTGCTATCTAAATATTTAGAAGATGGAGATGTTATGACTGACCTGCAAAGTGAGGATTTGGAAGTGAGTGAATGTGAAAGTAACAAATAAGACGACTACAAGTTGATTTTCGATGATAAAACTCACACAATATCAGTTTTTGAAAAAAGCTTCAAATGGATGCTAAGACAATACTANAAAAGCTTCAAATGGATGCTAAGACAATACTAAACGATAACTCAGATTTATGGTTACGATTGAACATTTCGTATCATCAACAAGGTGGTGGCGGCAACATGTGTGATAAGGGAGAATCATATGATTCTCCATAATATTTGCCATGATATAATCTTGTATGGCTGTATGGACATTTTGTATATTTGTAATTATTATTTCATATTATATAGGATCTCACAAGTGTAATTATTGGGTGTATAATCAGAAGTTATCTCCTCCACTTGGCAAGGAGGATTTCAGTATTTTCATTGTTTTATTGAACATCTTTAATTTAGGTGAGTTTGGTTTGGGGAGGGGTGGGGTGGGGGTTTTTTTTATTTTTT